ACTCAATGATACAATTATGCCGAGGTTCATAGAAAGCCGTACATGGGAATCTAAGTGTTTCTTTACATGGAAAAGGCTAATTTATTATTATCACGAAGTGCAGCTACTAATTAGCTGGAAATGCAAGACTAGCCTTTGAATTTAACTTAGCTCTTTTCTGATGTCATTCTTTATGAAATATGATATCTTCGTTCACTCCATCTGAAAAGACGAATCTTTTTCAGCTTTGTCCGTACTTCTCACGCACACCTATGGTGCTTCGTGTGGGACTGAGACCAAAATGCACGTGAGTCTTCCTTTCACTTGGAGTCTCAGCGGAAGAAATTTCGCAGTATCTACTCTTCACTCACAAATTGAACCGTTCCGGGATCCTTATCCAGTCTGAGGAAAACTCGCACAGTGACTTCGCACTTAGTTCCAAAGAGACCATCTGAATCCAGGTGCACCGCTTCGAAATGGAAGGAGACCGCACACCGCCACCGACTGAAGTGGTCTTTCTTAGAACGAGGTTTTTAATAGTTGAAAAAAGAAATAAAGTTCTGTAAAAATGCTCCAACCGGCTAGGGGGCACCTAACACGCGTTCGCTTTATTTACAGGGCACCTTTATAAGGGCGTAAGGTTTTACAGGTTTCCGAACTTCAGAAACTTCCTGTGACGAAGTACTAGGAATGTTGACACTTTAAAAAATTCTATAGGATTAGGGGGGGGGGGATAAATCAAAGATGTAGTTGAATTCCGTTCCGCGTGGGCCCTAGACGGAAGGCAAACCTGACAGTAATCTCCCTCCGTGCTCATCAATAGGGTAAGGGAGGGCAAAAGAGTCAGTATCGTTTTATTTAATGAGTTAAAATCCAAAGGAGTTAGTGAGGAAAACAAGGGAGTTAATAGCATAAAAAAGTAGCCACAAAAAACATCCACTTCTGCGCCATTGTCTTCGATACTGAGGTTCTTTTGCACTCTCTGCATTAACCTACGCTTCGGAGACTTCCACTTACAAAGGCAGGATGGCATGCAGTTAGAGTCAACATGACCTGACCAGGAAATTAGGTAGTTGCGTAACCAATATGATCATAATATGTGTCTAATATGCGAATGAAAAATTCGTATTTTTGTATTTATAAAGTACGAATTTATTTTTGGCTAGGCATCTTATAGGAGCTATAATGGAAATATTATATCTTTACTATAACCTACTTGGCATGTTTGATATCCAATATACGTTAACCTATCCAGAAAATCATTTTTATATGTACAAGCTCTAGCATTTCTTCACATTTCTGAGTATACAGTGTTGATTTTAATACCTTTGGAAACGTTAGTAGTGTAAAGTGGGGAACGCTTGACTTGAAAGCCAAAACCGCCTGTCTCATTATACATTTCGGTAAATATTTCACCTTCTTCTATGAGTAATTGTGAATCCAAATAGTAGCATCTAAATATGATCATTTCCATGCTTTATTTCTGAAGCAAGAGTATTTTTATAGACTTGTTTAAATTCTTGTATAATTATATCAGTATCCGTATTGTGTATAACTAGTTGGGCTATGCACGCTAACGCCCGCATCATCATGATGAACCAATTAATTGATCTGAATACGCAGTCTGCGATTATGTAGTCCACTTATCAGCCCTTACCAGTTGTTATCAGTTCGATCCCGCCACATCCCACATGTCACATTTCTTCCTAACAGCTACCATAGGTGTTCCCATCCTGCCGCCTGTGCTCCTACCGAATTTGAACATTCTAGGTCCACGGGGGCAGGTGTTATGAGTTTGTGTGCAAACAGAGAGACAGTTAGACAAGCAGACGAACAGACAGACGCGAGCGCTTCATATATAGTAAGGAGATTCTATGTCGAGCGTTGCTTTTGACCACATAATCGCAGCGCTGCGTATCCAAATCAATTAATTGATTAACTAATGGATGCGCGGGTTAGCGTGCATAGCCTAACTGGTACATCATTGAATGAGAATCCAAGATTATTAGCAGTCGGATAGGTTTTGCCCTGAATGGTATCGGAGCAGAGAGAAACCGTGATCCTTCACTGAATCGCAAACCTCGCTGGGTAGCTGTTGTAAACAAGAAGTGAAGCGTGAGCACCAAGAAAGTCCAGCGACAAGATGGAAGCCATTTTGAATTCATTTTCAGAATTCTCCAGATTAATCAAATTTTGGAAATATATTAACCAGAGAGATCAACAACCTCCTCTTATCCTTTGAGCTAATTACTGACGCCTTTTTTTCACAACTGAAGATTCTGTAATTCGAAGGAATCATTGACTGCGGTTTTCAGATCACGTTAAGTTATAATCATTTATCCCATAAAAAGACAATTGAGAAGGCAGAGCTCATGGTCGTGAGAAGGGACAACGTTCCGGGAGCACGACCATAGCGAATAGTTGCCAACACACCACAGAAAACTATGGTTTGCTGCTTGCGCTACTATGAAGGCTAGGATCTCCTGCAGTGACGCGATCCCACCGATTGTTGACCTTTGACAGGTGAGGTCTCGCAAATAATTGATAGGAGCGAGTGGGTATATAACCGGCTTTCTAATGGGGTTTATACAATCTAGTTAAGCCAGGGATCACTCTGAGGGATGTCCAAAGCTGAAGGTCCTTATAGAGACATACAGGACATACAGGACAACCTCTGGCAGCAGTCCTGCCTGACCTGGTTTACGAAGACTCCTCCCCACGCTTGGGTTTGACCTCTTACTCGATTGATTCATAGGTCAGAAATGTACACAAACTAACTTGAATAATTAATACACTGAAATGAGTTCTAGAAGGTAAGGAAAGCTAAGTGCTATATACCTAGCGACTTTCAAATAAAAGCTAGGGTCACAAACGTAATTAGCAATGTAAATTAGGTAATTCAATCACGGGCAACAATTACCTTGCTTCACATGTGTATGGACTAAACAACATACTTATGAGAGGAGAAACACATGTAATACCATGAGGTAGTACACCATTATAGCTGTCATGACTGTGGAATTCAATATTTGGTATAACGATTAGAAAATAAGAAAAAAGAATAGGTGAACAGATTGCTTATACACACTAATCACCTCCTTACTTGCTCCTAAGAAATTGGAGTCACGGTCCCCGATAGCCCACACTTTCAGATGAAGATTTGAATGTAACTACTCATGACAATCATCTTTTCCATTTGGCTCACGTAGCATTGTAATATATGGGTCTGGGAATATCACATATATTACAATCTCACCAAAATATGAATAATAGGCTGAAGTATGTAAGGGCTATAACAGCCCTCAAATACTTATCCTGCTGGTGTTGGCCAGGAAGCTCGAATATGGCTTTCATAGCAGACCCTTTGCTGATATTTGTCTGAAGAGCTTCTACGTCAGAGGATGTGACCACTCCACATGAGATTAAGTTCACATAAATGGTATGAGGCGACTGAAAGAGCTCACTGCCACAGAGAGTCAGAGAGATAGTCCCATCTTACTGATGCGCTTCGAGGACTAGAGTAAAATATGATTCGTCATGAGTTGGAGGGGAAACGAATCATGTTTTTGACTCCTGCATCTTCTTCTCGTAATTCCCTTTCTTTTCTTTTCCTTCTTTATGCATCAATTTTCACAGTAACAATTCTGAACCGGAGGAAGAGAAGAGAAGAGGGACTGGAAAATTCTTGCTTCTACGACATACCAGTCGGTTAGCCCAGTTAACGTCGAGCTTCTCTCCTTTCTATAATAAAACTGTAATTATCAACAAACCGCCCGCTCCTTCTTGGGAGCAAGTGGTTCTTTTCAGGAGAAGAAACCTGACAGGGGACTGTCAGGGCGTGCTCATGACTATAACTAGGGGTCTCGATCTGTTGATGTTCATCTTGGAAAAAAAAGACTCATTGAAGGTTCAACTGATCCGAGTTAAATTTTTCCGCCAACATCACGCCTCTTGTGGGCGAAGTGTAGTCCTCTTACTTACCATCGGTGTTCCCGACATTTTTTGAGCAAGTCTCGCCCACTGTGAGTGCTATTTGAGTGAGAGAAACCCGGTCCTGCTTCTCACCATAAGTATTGCCACCTGCCGTCTGTACTCCAAACAAATTTGAACTCTCTAGATCCACGGAGACCGGAACTTATATATTTCCGGCCGAAACACCCAGACACAGACGAACCACACACACACGTAGCGCGTTTTATACTTTCCTAAAAACAGTGTCAACGTATGCCCTTTCTTTTTGTCACATGAAATTTTATCAGATCTATAAACACTTCTAGTCACAGCGACTGTGACTTCTTCTAATCTTCCTTCCGGAAAAGAAGAAGGTGTATAATCATAATTAGGTCATGGCGCTCTGCAGCAAGCCGACAACTATGTACCTTACCCGAAAATGATGCCGACATTTTGGTTACGAGAATTTTGTTCAGGCGACTCCACACGAGCACCATTTCAGAAGTGCGAGGAGCCGTCTCCAACATTTTGTAAATTCCTGCTGACCAGAAAAGGATATCAAGTCGAAGTGGTTGGGGGCAAAGTTTTTGCACTACGTGGATTTTTTCCTTGCGACCTAAGAATTCTTTTTATGTTAATTTTATCGCGTTCTGCGAATTCTTGAAGTTATTAGTGACATATTTCCGACCTCAACATGCAATATCACATCAACTTTTTGCATGTTTGTGAACGTATGCGGTGCACACAAAAACACTTGAAACAAAGAAGTTTTTCACAATGGAAGCAACGAATAGACAAGAGCTTGTCGCATCGCGTTGCTTGACAATCAGTACCACGTCAAAGAGAAAACAGGATCGTGTAGGTCTCGAAAGTCACGGTGATTGCTTAGGTAGCCAGGACATGCTATCAATACGAGAGAAAGTTTCTAAACCTGACAACACACAACTAAAAGTATGCAAGTGATAGCCAGACAAGTCACGTGTGTACTCACAAGACTTGATATCGGGAGCTAATACGTATGAGATGTACTATGAAATGAACATCTCAGCGCCTTCATCAGCCCGTGATATGTGCGGGTAGAATCATGACCTTCACCTGCTTTTTTTGTGATTTTGACTGGATAGCTTAATGATCTCTGGATGATGCTCACGAGTCCACTGTCAACAGCTTCGAAAATGGAAACTTCGCATTCGCTATGCACGACCGTACCAATGTCAAAACTTCTGGTCTAAGTGACCATCAACGAAAGGGCAAGGAATAACGGGGAAAGAATGGCAAGTGGCAGAAAAACATCTCACTACTTCGTCGAATTCCGTTGAGCCTCTTGGGCTCAGAGGCAGAGTATGCATATTTCTC